GATCCCGCCGACCACCCTGCGCCAGGTCAAGCGCTCCAACTGGAGCCCGCCCACCGACTCTGGGCTGTGGGCGGTGGCCGACCGCGTGCGGGGGCGGCTGCTGGGGGAGCTGCACGGCGCGGTGCGGGAGCGGCTGGATGCTGAGCTGGCCTTCTTCGACGAAGTCACCGCCGTGTCGGGCAAGCTGTACCCGGTGCCCAAGGTGGGGGTGCGGGGTGGTGCGGTGTGGTGGTGGGGGCTGGTGGCGAGGTGGGGGCGTGGCCTGGCGGGCGAGGGGTGAGTGTGGGGCAGGGGCAGCTGGGGCTGTGGTGGTGTGGCGCGGCCTGGCCTGGCGGCGGGGGAGGGGTGAGTGTGGGGCGGGGGCAGCTGGGGCTGTGCCGTGGCGCGTGCCTCCGCCTGGCGGCGCTGTGCAGCGGGCCACGTGCCGTGGGTTGCCCAGTGGCCCGCGTCCGCCTGCCCTGCCGCCTGCCCGCAGGACGAGCGCAAGGCGGCCGCCGTCAAGTTTCTGGAGGGGATTGAGGTGCCGCGCCAGGACCTGTACATACCCACCAACCCAGACTGCCGCGTGCTGGCGCTGATCCCGGAGAGCGCAGCGCCCATGCAGGTGACCGCCCGCCTGCCTGGCCGGGACATGGCGCGGCGGCGGCGCTTCCCTGTGGCGAGCCGGGGGGCGCCTCCCCTGCAGGCTGTCGGGGTGTGACACAGCCCGACAAGCGCCGCGCTGCTGGCCCCGGCCAGGCGGCACGCGGCCCCACCTCGGGCTCAGCCCCGCCCCGCCTCCGTGACCCCACCCCCTCTGCTGTTGCCCCCTCCCCCTCCTCCTGCCGCAGAGCGCCGCCAAGTGCCCCATCCTGGCTGCCTTCCGGTGCGAGCAGGCTGACGATCTGGGCAGGCGGGAGAAGGTGCAGGCCTGCATCTTCAAAGTAGGGGACGACTGCAGGCAGGATGTGCTGGCGCTGCAGGTGGGCGGCGGCGCCGGCGCTGCCTGGCGCCCCAAACCTGCCCCCTCCCGCATGTGCTTGCTCGCTGCAGCGGCGCTTGCTGCAGACGCCTGGCAGGCGCCCCTGCTCCCGCCCCCCACCCACTGCCTGCCTCCCTGCGCCCGCCGCCCTGCCAGGTGATGCGGCTGCTCAAGGGGGCGTTTGACCGGGCGGGCCTGCCGCTGTACCTGGCGCCGTATGGCGTGGTGCCCACCGGCCACGAGCAGGGCATCATTGAGGTCATCCCGCAGGCCAAGAGCAGGGCGCAGCTGGTGAGCGGGGCGGGCGTGTGTGTGGGGGGTGGCTGTGGGGTGGCTGTGGCGGATGCTCATCGGGCCAGCCGCTCGCCGTCGGGCCGCCCTGCCAGACGCGTGCCGCGCAAACCGCGCCCCGACCCCCGGACCGCACCCGCCCCACCTCTGCCACGCCCTGCCGCCACCGCCCCACC